ATAAGGAAACTTTTAATTTGATGAGTCAATCCAGATACAACTCTCTGTATTCTTAAGTATGTATCAATCCAGATCTCTCAGTATTCTTAAGTATGAATCAATCCAGATACAACTCTCTGTATTCTTAAGTATGTATCAATCCAGATACAACTCTCTGTATTCTTTGGTATGTATCAATCCAGATACAAGTCTCTGTATTCTTAAGTATGTATTAATCCAGATACAACTCGCTCAAACTCTATACTCTCTACCGAGAACCATTAGTTCTGACCTTAATCAACTACAGTTCATATTCAACTCACTATATTTTGAGTATAAGGTACAGATAAGATTAAAATTGACCGATAATACAGTCTGGTTATAACATAATATTTATACGTATAGGTTCAGGTTTCCAAGATATATTCCTATATTTATTACATTATAATTATGTCATTAAGTTTACATTATGTTTTAAACATTTATAATGTAATGAAATTTATATTATGAATTATGATTATGTTATTAAGTTAAAATTATGTTTATGTTATTGATTTTACATTATGTTCAAGTTATAAAATTTACGTTATGTTTATGTTATTAAGTTTACATGTTTAAAATGAAATGAAGTTTATATTATGATTATGTTATTAGTGTGAACCCTACCATATATACCATATACAAGTTGAATAACATAATAGAACTTATTCACGTATCTTTTATTTTGACCGTTTATTCTATTTCAAAGACTCAGCTACATATGGATGCAGGGGGGATGAGGAAAAAAAAAATATATCGTGCAAAATTTGGGGGAAATACATGCTTCAATTCTCTCTCTTTTTCAATCATCAAGATTTGTTATCCTTGATTCTTGACAACCCTAACTGACTTTAACAGGTTACAAGTATTTTCTGTCATACAATTAATATAATATAAATGTAATTTGAACATTTTACAATTTTCCTATTTTAAATTTGATTATAAAATCAGTATAAACTCCCCCAACCCACTACACCGACTTAATTTTTGGTTA